AAAAAAAAAAAAAGCTTCACAAATTCATTTCCTGCTTTCAGTAAGAGATTGCAGATAAATATGCAATGATGAGAAAAACACTAATGCTTTCCAGAACATGTAATCATGAGAAATAAGTGTTACCGTTCTCAATGCTGCTCTCCCACATTTCTAGTTAATAAAAGTGACATGTTCAGTTATCCTATATGTTATATGCAGAGACAACTCTAAAGCCCAAAGTATAGGCCTATATATTTACTGAAAAAATGTGTTCTGTGTGAACAGCCCAAAAGAAAGCAATTTATAGGATGAAAGTGTAAACATCATGATTTGTGACAGTATCAAACATTGTCCAAACCAGTGTCTGAGCTTGGGGCAGGACTGTTAGTTTGGCCAGCCAGTGGCAGTCGGGGGTTCAGGTGTTTGGGAAACCTGTTTGAAAACAGTTTCAAACAATTTCAGTTTCATTATTTCACTTTACTTCTAAAGCAACACTTACCATAAAAAAACTATGAAGTCTAGAGTGTTTAATAAATTCTAACCATTATAAACAGAGAGGGGAATACTACCTACTCCATCTCCAGCTCAGCCAATATCATTTTTAGATGACTACTTCAAAGTATACTGGAAGGAACCAAATTTAATTATATATTGCCTTTTCGGTCTGTTTTGTTCTCAGGTGTACAAGATGACGACTCCTACCACTGTCTTTGTGACCGTTGGAAATAACAGCACTGCCAACACATTCATTGACTCAAAGTTTCGTTACACTGTCTTTCCTATATTCTATGGCCTGGTCTTTGCCTTGGGCTTGATGGCCAACTGCTACGCTCTTTATGTGCTGCACCATATGCGGGAGTCTAAAGCCATGAATGAGATTCGAATCTACATGACCAACTTGACCGTTGCAGACTTGCTGTTTGTGTCCACTCTACCGTTCTGGATTGGCTACTACATGAATAACGGTGACTGGAAGTACTCAGATCCTCTCTGTCGTATTGCAGGCTCGTTTTTCTTCATCAACACATACTGCTCTATTCTCTTCCTTACTGTCATCAGCATTAATCGTTACTGGGCCGTTACCAGGCCACTGGTGGCCGCTTCTTCTGACTGCTGGAAACGTGGAGCAATCGTCTCAGCGTTCATCTGGGTCATCACTCTTGCGGCTTCAGTTCAATTTCTCACTCAGCAGGGAATCCAGAAGGACAATAACATGTCTCGCTGTTTTGAGAGTTATCAAAACGAGGATGCCTCTGATATATACACAGTGGCCGTCACCCACTTCATCATTATTGGCTTGTTCTTTCTTGTTTTCTTGATGGTGATTGTCTGCAACATTTTGATTGCTCGAGCTCTTCTGACGCAACCCATCAGTCAGCCTCGAGCCAGCACAGGAAAGCGCCCCGGAGGTACTAAGCGCAGAGCTTTGAGGATGCTGTGTGCTGTCATAGGTGTCTTTGTTATCTGTTTCCTGCCCCACCATGTGGTGCAGGGTCCCTGGGTGTTGTCTGTGCTGCACTTGAGGAAAGATTGGAACATGAAAACTCACCAAAGCTTAAACGATGCTCACCAGATCACCCTTATGCTTATGGGGATCAACTGCCTACTGGACCCGCTGGTGTATTGCTTCGCCACCACAAAGTTCCGCAAGTACATCCAGAATCATTTCACAAAGGTCAAGCATAACAAAAACTGTTCACGCAACACATTAAGCACGGCTATGTCACTGAAGAGCAGACATCAAAGTGAAATATGAAGAGCAGAAAACAGCTGAGAAATATTTGGTGTCTGCTTATTTTAACCAATTATAATCTTACAATTATAAGTTTTAGATTTGAGTGGAATTTAATTTCAATCCCAGATTAGGTTCTGTTTGGATTCTTAAAGGTATAGTTAATCTAAAAATGTAAATATTGTCATCATTTACTCACCCTCATGTTGTTCCAACGCTGTATGACTTTTGTTTATTTGTTTGTTTTAAATATTTTTAAAAGTGCCTTAACAAACCAGTCAAAATCTCTTCTTTTGTGCTCCACAGAAGTAACCGTGAGACTGGGCAAATGATGACAGAACTTTCATTTTTAGGTGAACTATCCCTTTAAATGTAATCGAATTATTGACATGATTTTCAATTGCTGCCCCTTGCAGACAAACGAGAGAATTCAAACTCTTCAAATTATTCAATGCATATGATAAATGCTTTATATACTGAAATATTAAGCTTCTTCCACCTGATATTTGATTCATGTAGTGTCATATTGTCTTTTAAAGATATAATTCACCAAAAAAGGAACGTAGCCAGTTGATTTCTCTCTCATGTTACCATGACAACAAATATTTATTGTACTACCTTGCTTGTTTTGAAGTAGCTCTATGAGGAGCATTCCTGTGGGCCAGTTCTTATGCCACACAGGAAACCTATGTGTTCTTTTGCAATGGTTTGTTTTCCAGAATGGGGAACCTGAACCGCACACATCCCCTGGAATTGTGCACTTAAACTTTGAAATGACAAATAAACTGCCCTTTTCTTGATCTAGAAAACAATTTTGTTTCCTCACAAAGAAGTTTAGTAATTATTATTCTGATTTACGAAATGTAGGTTTGTTGACTCTCACTTTGTTCTTAACTGTAAATCTATGAACTGAAAAGAACATTTCTGCACAAGTGCTGTGAGAGTATTTATTTAACAATATGTGATACATTTCTTTCTAATATACTGTAAGTTGAAATCTGTTTTATATGCATGGTTTATATGTAATGCTTTGCAAAGCCAGACTTTTAAGAAAATATGCGTTTAAATTCCCAGTAATGTCTTGCCATTTTTTATTGTTTAAAAAGGTGTGTACATCAGCTGTGTGTTTTATGGTGGTCCTTTAGAAAATTATTCAATGATGTTTATTTCCTTGTTGCATTAGCACATTTTAAAATAGCATAATGCTTGTATAACAGCTGCTTCTGCTGAATCTTTCTCAGTTATTAACTTCTGCATTAAGCAGGAAGTTTTGCAAGATGGTGTTGTACGGTCCTTTTTGTAAAGTTATGAAAGTTCTCATTTACTCACCCTCATGTTGTTCGTGTGGACTGTGTGACTTTCTTCTGTGGAACATAAAGGAGATGCTATGCAGAAAGTTAGGGACTTGAGTTTTTGTCCATTTAGTGAAAGTGAATGGTGACCGAATCATCCCTTTCAATGTTTCGTTGAAAAGAATAACAGAGTATGAAGGATAGGTGTAATGTAAAAACTCCTTGTCTCACATTCTATCAACTGCAGATGCTATTCTAGTACAGAAACTCTTTTTATATTTCAATATAAAAACAATGTATATATTTCAAATGGTCATTGATGTTTGCTCATGAAATAAGGCTTTGTATGTCATGTAAACTAAATCAGCACTGAAAAGGCAAACTAATAATAATAATAAAAACATTGAACTGTATGTTTTTGCTTTTCTGTGCATTCAACATTATATGTTGTGTCTTGATAGATAATATATATATATTCTGTTTTTCAGGTATGCAATAATCAGCAACTTTAGATTTCAGGTTCAAATCAACATTGCGTGCATCCGCGGCCCCCAGTGGTAACTTAAAATAGTGATCAGTGATTAGTCTTATGTTGCCAGATAAGTACAATAAAAACAGTCAGTATAATTTAACTTTTACTTAATTATGTTTCCAAGAGCAAAATTATGTTATGTTATTTACTATATTTAAAAAATTAAAAAATTCTCATAATTACAAGGTTAAATACAACTTAAAAGAGACGGTTCACCCCAAAATGACATAATTTACTAATGTCGCTCCAGACCTGTTTGGTCTTTCCCATGTGAAACACAAAAGAAAAGATATTCAGAAATTATAAGTCACTGCATGTAATTGGGGACAGAATCTTGATTTTTGGGTGAACTCTCTCGTTAAGATCTACAGTGGTGGCCAAAATTATTAGAACACTTGACA